AAAGCATGTTTTGCATGTATGTTTTTACAGTACAAATTTGACTGCTGGGAAGTTTCTAGTGTACAAAACTTTATTTAAAGGTTTTACTACTGAATCCAGGGTATTCTGAAGATCAAAGACTGTGTGTAAAATGCTACAAAAAAAGCAACAATAAACAAGTTTGATTTAAAAAATAAATAAAATGTTAGAAGGTTTAAGAGGCTTATCAGCCAACCAAAAAGAAAGAAAGAAAGAAAGAAAGAAAGAAAGAAAGAAAGAAAGAAAGAAAATAATCTGGACATACTAGGACAAACCTCTAATCCTAGTACTCTGAATTCTGAGGCAGAAAATTTTTATAGTGTAAAACCCTGTGTCAAAGACAGAGAGAAAAGAGGGGTGAGGGGGGGTTCATTAAGAGGAGAGGAGAGAAGAAAAAGACAGTGAACCATGAAGCAGAGAAAATGGATTTCAGTGGTATTAGGAAATCTTGATCTGTAAGAAGCTTCCATATTCAAAATGTCCAATACAATGAAGAAGAGAGAAAGACACACCACTGAATTTGAGAATACCTAGAAGAAAAAGAATGCGAAGCCTTCAGCCTCCCACCAAAAAAATACTAAGAGACAAGCAGCAGAAAGAGTGATGGGTGAGCATGAGCAGGAAATGGGGCAGGGTTACTTTCCTAATTTTGAACAGGTTGTTTAATAAACAAGACACATGTAAACCCTGCAGAAAGTGAAATGTCATTGAAAAATGTGACTATGGAATAGGAAACTGGAGACAGTCTAACAGGCTGGGAGCCTGACTTTTAGCTGCTGTGGAGAAGCCCCCACGTTGGATATCCAGTACCACAAAAATAAACCTGGAAGCAGTCTTCACCGTTTTTCAAAGCAGGATAGCTAGCAAGTTACAGAATTCCTATTAACCAAGCACTCCCTCCTCTAACATAACAAGTGGAACTTACAAGGAATTTATCACAGCTATTTCTCAAATAAGAAAAAGAAGCCAACAGACCCCATTCATTTGAAAGAAAAAAGGCCTCCAGAAAGCAATACAGAATTACAAGCAAAAAGAAACAAAAACAAAAAGGGGAGGATATACTCTGCTAAACACACAAAGAGAAACAAAACACTCTTACAATATCTTTGAACAAATACAATGTATCCTTGTCAAGAACCTAATACTTTTTGCAAACTGGGGGTAGTGCCCTTCTGTGATCCCAGCACTCGGAGGAATCAGAGTTTAAGCCAGCCTGGGCTACATAGGAAAACTGTCTTCAAACCAGGAAAGAAGAAAAAAGCATTATATAAACAAACAATGAACTTGATACTTTCCCTCTTAGAAACAAGGTCTCACTCATGTATCCTAGACTGACCTGGAGCTCACTTCTGAGACTCCTGCCTCAACCTAAGTGCTGGAATTACAAGCATGTACCACCATATCTGTTTGTGCTGGGGATAGAAGCCAGGACTTTGTGCATGTAAACAGCAAGCACTCTACCAACTGAGCTGCCACATGTTTCAAATGACACACATGCTTAATTTGATTTCAGCGTTACACACTATATACACCTGTGGAAACATCAAAATGTAAACTATAAATGTGTGTAGTTTTTATTTACCATTCTTTTTTTTTTTTTAAACTTCTAAAAGAAAGACTAGAAGGCTGGGTGGTAGTGGCACACACCTTTAATTCTAGCACTTGGGAGGTAGAGGCAAACAGATCTCTGTGAATTCCAGACCAGGCTAGTTCCAGGATGGCCAGGGCTACACAGAGAAACCCTGTCTCAAGGAGGGAAAGGAAGGAAGAATAGAGCAGCTCAGTTACACAGTCCTTCCCTAGATATACAAAGTCTCAAATCCCACTTCCAGCACCATAAACCACCTTGCCCCCCAAAAGGAAAACCAAAATGAAATAAAATAATTCAAGAAGACTCCCCAGAATTAAAAAGAAAAATGGGGACTGGAGAGTGGTACAACTGTTAAGAGCACTGGCTGTTCTTCCTGAGGACTCAGGTTCTATTCCAAGCACCCACATAAAGGCTTACAACCTACAGTCCCAAGGGATACAACACTCTCTTCTGGTCTCCAAGGGCACTACTGCATGTATGTGGTGCACAGACATACATACAAGTAAAACATATGAATAAAAAAGAAAAGAAAACATTTAAAGAGTTTGGTTGTAGGGAGGTACTTTTAGGTGACCTACATCAATTCCTGGCACTCAGGACAGACAAAAGATTCTAACAGGCCCTCCTGGTGCAGTTAAAGGTATGGGTCAAGAAGCAGAAGTCAAGTCAGGTGGTAGCAGTGCACCTGGTCTACAGAGTGAGTTCCAGGACATCCAGGGCAACACCCAAAAAATAAATAAATATAAAAATATTTAAGAACAAACAAAAGACTCAGAAGTCACGGCAATGGAGCAATGCCTCCATATGTTTTAGAAAAAAATGAACCAACATCACAAACTCAAAAATTATGATTGGCTTTTAAATAATGGTCTCAGAAATTCAACTCTCCACTCATCCTTTCTTAAGCTGATAGGTGACCTCTACCATGAGAGAGGGTAAGTCAAACCTGATAGTGATTACCTCCTGTGAGAGAAAAAACTGGAAGTGCCTTATGCAACACCAAGGCCCCTCTTTAGACAACAAGCATCAGGCCCCGCCTGCCACAAAAGGGCGGCACACAGGCCAAACAGAAGTAGGTCAGTGGCCCTGAGGGATAAAGTTAAGGTGAGTGTGATGGTGAACCACTGTGCTGGCTACATTGTGAGAGAAAGAAAAAGGAACCAGAGAAACAAAGTGGGTCAGCTTTGAGCAAGTGTCCATTTCCATGGGCCCAGTATCACACAGATTATGACGGCTATGAAGAATGTGTGGAAACAAACATGTGTATTAGGAGAGTAGAAATAAAAGCCAAGGAGAGGGAAAAAAACTGGGGAAAAATATCAATTAGTGTCAGCATAGGTATATGGAAGTAAATAAATACCAGCCAAGTGAGATGATGCTCACCTGTGGGCTGAGTTACTCAGGAAACTGGGGCAGGAGGATGGCTTAATCCTAGGAGTCTGAGGCCAGCCTGGGCACCACAGTAAGAGCTGGCCCCAAAGTAAGAATACAAATAAAGAGTGGCTGGGCTTGGTAGGCAGCTACTCATTCTGGAGAATAAAACAGAAGAAACATAAATTTGAGGCCAGCTTGAGCTAGAGGACATTCAAGGCCAGTGTGGCTTAGTGAGACCCTATCTCAAAACAGAAGATACAAAGAGAGCTAGGGATGCAGTTTGGTGGTAGAGCATTTGCCTAGAATGCCCAAGGTCCCAAATTCAATCTTCAATACCACAAAAGGAAAAAGGTGGAAAAGCAGAGGAGCTAAAAGCAGGTTACCTAAAAAGTAGGCAGCTATTGGCAGGTGCTACAAAATTCATGCAAAAATGCCTTATAGCCAGGCAATGCTGGCCCAAGCCTTTAATCTCAGCATTTGGGAGGCAGAGGCAGGCAGATCTCTGACTTTGGGGCCAGCCTGGTATACAGAATAAGTCCAGCACAGCCAAGTCTACACAGAGAAACCCTGTTTTTTTTTTTTTGGGGGGGGGTCACTTGCAATAAAACTAAGGCAAATGTATTTTAGAGCAATGCAAATCATTGGCTCACCAGTCTAGTATATAAAGCATCCACCAGGAACATTTCTCAAATTGACACTGGCCTGCATGGGCCAAGCAAAAGAGCTGTGATGGAGAATCCAAAGCATGACACATCTTCTATATTTCTATATTCTCTAATGCCTACACAACAGAAATTTTAACAGGGATTTAGCGAATTCTTTAGGAGGACTCAGTATCTCCATAGAAATCCAAATAATCATGAAATCGGGGCACTCCTAAGCAGGCAAGTACCGAAAGTGCTATCAACAGTTTTCATATAGCACACACAGATAGCAGGTAAACTCATCAAAAACACAGAGGGGGAAAAAGAAAAGCCTGTTACTCATCCCGATAAAATAAACACCATAGTTAGCAAGGGCTCAGTTTGCACCAGAATAACCAGGAGATATGCTCCTCGCTCCTCCTCCCCCCTTCCCCGCCCCCAACCTTCTGCCACTCTAATTTCTAACCACATCACTGAAGCATCAGGACTGGTCGTCACAAGCAACCCGATGACGATGACGAGGAGGCAGTCCCGCCATGCAGGAACTGAGAATAGGCAAACAGGGTAACCAAGAGCAAAGCAACTGGATCCTTTCAGACTCTGACCATGGATTGCAAGCTCCCAGGTCTTTGTTTACAAAACTGGGATTAAAAAACAAAGGCCCAATCTTACGACTATTTGAAGGTCGGGTGAGAAAATAAATATTTTGGGCGAGTGACTGAATAATAACTTTCTTATCACTAGATTCTCATAAGATCTCGAAGAGGTGGCAGACAACCATAGTGATCTCCGATTGTGCAGAAGCACAGTCCTGAGCCCAAGCTCCCTCCAGGCCTCTCTGCTGACAGACACAAGCTCTGGCACCAGCGTATACAAAGAGGCACCAGCGTATACAAAGAGGGTCCGTCCACAAACACCCGCACACCATTCTTAAGAAACAGCGCGGCCAGGCCAAGGAGCTCACACAGACAACCATGACCCCATTTTGACAACTCAGGGGTTCTTAACTTCCCGGGTCATCTTTGGAATTAAAAGCTCCTCTCAGAAAGAGGGATACACAGAAACAAACAGATCCTCTATCTGGTGGATCCAGGGTTCACTGAGCCCGCCACTGCCTTGCGACCAAGGACCACTGACCGGGGAATAGGGTGGGGTGGGGAGGGTGGACAGTTAGAGGTCATAAAGGCTCCTGCAAGTCACCAAATTAGGGAAATCGGGGGTAGGAGAGCGGAGACGCTGCCGGCATCTTCCCCTCTTAGTTCAGCAAGCGGATTCTGTCAACCCCAACCAAACCAAAACAAAACAGGAAGCGCGTGCCCGTGGAGGAGAGAAACGCGCTGCTCAGTCATTGGAGCGACCCGCCGTGCCCATACCTTGTAGCACTGTGTCCGGCTCCTCCGCGTCCCCAACCTCCGCGCCCCGCAGCTCCGCGCCGCGCTCCGCCACGGTCTGCTCCTCCTCCCGCGCAGAAGGCGCCGAGGGCTCCCCTAATGCGCCCCTGGGCGCCGGACTAGGTGACGCCGAGCTGTCTGAGGGGCTATCCGGGCCCCAGGCGTCCCAGAGCCAGGGCGCGTGCGCCTGCTCCAGCAGCCGGCGGCCCAGGCGGTAGCGGAGCAGCTCGCGGTAGCATGGCGCATACTCGTCCCAGCGCGGCTCCCGGTAGCGCTTCATGTACTCGCTCTTCACCCCACTGCCCGGGGACATGGTGTTGTGCGCCACAGACTGCCTGCTCCGCGCCGCCGCCTATGGGCCCGACCCGACTCAGAGACCCGGCCCGCCGCGCGGTTCAAACGCGGAGCCCCGCCCGGACCGGAGGGCGGAGGCTGGGACGAGGAGGGGCGGAGAAGGGGCAGGTCTGTGACGGGGTGATTCTGGGAGAGGGGCGGAGTCTTGCTGGGGGCGGAGTCTCGGACCGGGAGGGCCCTGCGGTTCAGGTAACAGCGGGGGCGGGGTTCCAGGACGGATTGCAGGAGACACGACCTAGCTACAAGGAGTGCTACTCCTAGGTGGTAATCTGTGGTCGGCCCCTCTGGGTAAAGGTGGAGACCAACGGGACTCAGGTTTGCAAGGACGGTGGTCTGGGTCCCCAGGCACTCTCCTAGGCAGGGAGTGGGGACTCCAAGACCAGCAGCCTTACCTCCTGCGCGTTTGATCCTGCGCCCTCCGGAGGTCAGCAGAGATCGTGGCGCTGCAGCTACAGTGTGACCAGCGTTTCCCGAAGCGCGTCCTCCACCAAGATGTCGCCGATAGAGCGGCGGCCCCGCGGTCCTACGGCAGCCGGAGGCGAAGGCGCCGCCCCAGCCTGAAGCCTGCACCTCCCCGCGCGCCCGTCGGGCCCCCGCCCGCGCCTGGGGCGCTGCTGTGAACCCCCAGCTCGCTCGCCCACTCGCTACTGGCGTCCTCGGGAACAGGCTTCAGCTTTAGGTGCAACCTGCGCCTGTGAGCCACCAGCACCTGGGCCAGGCCCAAATCATGTGTCCTGCTTCATTCCTCTATTCACAACGCCCGGGTACTCAAGCATTACTTTAATACGTTTCCCTACCCACCCCCTTTTGAGACAAATCTTGGATAGCCAAGGCTAGCCTAGAACTCATTCCAGAGCCCAAGCTGGTCTTGAACTTTTCTAATCCTTCTGCTTCAACCTCACAAGTGCTGGAATTATAGATGTGAGCCACCTCTCCTCACCTGCCCTCATCCTTATCTACAGGCCAATTTTTTGTAATGGATGGATGGGTGGGTGGGTGGGTGGATGGATGGATGGATGGATGGATGGATGGATGGATGACACATACACACATCCCAGGGCCTGTTCAAAGACCTGGTGCAAAGGTTTGATTTGGGCTCTGTCGAAATGCACAATGTTACGTGGTTGGAACCCTGTTCTACAGATTGCCATTTGTAAAAAGGAGACTCGATGCAGTAGCTGCAGGAAGGTTTGAAAGGAAAGGCATTCAAGGAAAAATAACATAGTTTAAAAAATCAAAAAATAGGCTCAAGCCAGGATGTATAATAACCATTTCCGGCTAGCAGATTATCTCTGATATTTCTTCAGTTTAGATGAACTATTCCCATATGTCTAATCCTGCCTGGACCCTTTCTTAGCTGAAAGTCCTGAACATAAGACACCAAGCCTGCAGGGTGATTCAAAGGACAGCCTAGCTGGCTGTCCTGAGAACCTGAACTGACCATTTGTATCATGGAATTGTCCAGAGCCATTTTCTGGTGGAAAACAGAAGTTAGGGAAGCTGCTGCTGAGATTCCCACAGGGGTCAGACTCCTCTCCCTACCCCTCAACAAGCATTGCATTCCCCTTTTATTTAAACTGACTTGATTGACCTATGTGTTAGCAACCAAAAGAAGCTTATAAATATTTAATCACTAGGTGTGGTGGCACACCTGTAACCCTAGCCTTGTCTCAAAAAATAGGTAAATAATTTTTGAATAGTGTGGAAGAAATGTGCTGTGACATGAGAAATCAGGGTCAGAGTGTCTCAGCTTTTGCTTCCTGATTGCAAATTTCAGTGGATTGGGTTACCTGTGGTGCCTGCCAATCCAAGCCAGCCTGAGTTACATACTAAGATCCTGTCCAAAAGAAAATAATAATAATAATGGGATGAAGTACCATGGTAGAGAACTTGCCTAGCATGTACAAGGTCTTGAATTCTATCACTGAAAAGGAAAATAAAATAATGACAACAAAGTTCTCAGATTGACCCAGGCAGGCAGCTGAATTAGAACAAAAATCCTTAAAAACAAGTCCATGGAGCCGCAGAACACTTACTTGTTCTTGCAGAGGCTCCATGGTTAGATTCCCAACACCCAACAGCCCATAGCTGTCTGTAACTCCATTCCCCAGGGATCCAACACCTTCTCCAGACCTCAAGCACCAGGCATGCATGTAGTGGGCATATATACATGCAAACAAAACACTTGTACACATAAAGTAGTAAATGAATCAAGTGACAGCTCATTGATTTATTGGCCCTCTCACAGCAGGTACTGTGAGAGCATCATATGGAAAATGTTCAGAACAGTATCTCTTGCTTTTCATTGTCCTGATGGCTATGCCCTTATTTCTCCAGGAAATACCAAGAATGTGCTTTGAATTTTTGAAATTAAAGCATGAAGCTTGAGTCAGATGAGGAATCTTTCCCCTTCAGTAGATGACCTGCATGTGCAACAGCCACAGATCAGAGGACAGTATCTGCATGCTGTCTCCACACAGAAGTGCAGCTGCTCCCTGTAGGGGTTTCTGAGGCTCAAACAGAAACTGCCTGCAACATTAACTCACTGAGGAAAGGCAGGGGTGTTTTTGTGGAACCTGCCAAACTCAGGCCCTGATTAGACTCTGGCTCAGCTTCTTCCCACCTGAGAAGTCTCCCAGTTGGGACTGAGGCCCTCAGAGGCCCTAAACCTCTGCCTTTCCACTCCACACCCTCTAATTTTGTTGTTGTTGTTTGTTTGTTTGTTTTGTTTTGTTTTGTTTTTCAAGACAGGGTTTCTCAGTGGCTTTGGAGGCTGTCCCGGAACTAGCTCATGTAGACAGACCAGGCTGGTCTCAAACTCAGAGAGATCTGCCTGCCTCTGCCTCCCTAGTGCTGGAACTAAAGGCATGTGCCTCAGTCACCCAGCCCTTTAATCTTTTCCTATTAGCAATAGCCACAACTCTGCCTTCTTCCACTTTCTCTCTTCCTTTCTTCTCTTCTGCTCTGCCTCCTCCCTTCTTTATGCCTGCCCTCCGTTCCCTCATCACCCTCCCTCTCTCTTTCCCTCTTCCTTTCCATCTCTACCTCTCTCTTTGCCTCTTACTCTTCCAAGCCTTGAAGCATGATGCCTCTGCCTCCATCCATCCCTTTCCCTGATATCCCCACTCTTAGAACCACGTAACAAAGAAACAAACATTTCCCCAATTACTTTGACTGCTAGATAATAAGCTGTCAAATGAAGAAGAACAGTGTGATTACCATGGCAATTTGTCAGAACACAAAATTCTATGTGCAGTCTCATTTGGCTGCATTGGAAACACCTGCTTTGAAAATGTGCCCAGATCGAGTTTCACTGCTTTCTTCCATAATGTAGGCTGCTGCTGCTGCTGCTGCTGCTGCTGCTGGTGGTGGTGGTGGTGATGGTATGATGATGCTGGTACTGATGCTGAGAATTCTGGTGCTGATACTGATATTAAATCAGCTAATAACACTGGTACTAATAATGATGCTAGCAGTGATGCTTAGCTTGGGGCTCCTGCTTCCTTGCATATCTTTTCAAAAAATTTTTCTTTATTTTTTAACATTAAATTGTTTTCCATACATAATATTTTGATCATATTCTCTTAAAAAAAATACAGAAACACAAGAAACAAATTCCCCCTCAAAAACAGAAAAATGAAAATCAAAAGAAACAAATAGAAGATCAATAAGACAAACAATTATGTCAAAACAAAGCAAATGGAACATAAAGTCCACAAAAACGCCATTGAGTTTGTTTTTTGTTGGCAACTACTCCTAGGCATAGAGCTCACCCTGGAATGTGGTTGACTCACCCTGTGACACTCCATTGGAGAAAACTGATTGCTTCCTTGCATGTCTGAGGAAATTGTTTCATCTACCTGTCCCTGAAAATCTGAGTTCTCTCTATGAGAATTTACATATTCCATGAGACAATGTTCGTCCCACTGCTCACTTACTGCCCACAGCTCAGTAAATCTGTACCCCAGCTCCTCTGCCCCACCCTGCCCCCACCCCAGAAGGTTGACCCTCTAGATCCACCAGGAGCCTGAGAATAATTTTCAAGGAATGTTAATCAATACTCACTGCTCTGCTGCTGTGAGTTTTCCAAATCCTAAAGTTTGCCTTGAGCCCTAACCAAGCCAACGGAAAGCCAATGCTTTGGGGAGAATGTTCCAGCCCCTCATGGAGCTGCTCTGCTGAATTATACTTGGTTTGGAGCCTGTGCTCTCCAAGAATAGTCCACAAGCAACCATCACTCTTGGCCTACAGTTCCCTTGGTGAATACCTTAAAAGACATTTATCTTCTTCCTTGATTAGTAAACTGACTTCCTCTCTACCTCTCACAGAAAGTAAACTCTGTTTGTTTGCTATTAATACTGGGGGACTCAAGATCAATGTGCCTCCCCTCTTTCACCCCAAGAATCAATCACAACTGTTTTTGGTGTGTGTGTGTGTGTGTGTGCGCGCGCGCGCGTGTGCATACATGTGCTTTGTTTGCATTTATACCTATAAACCAGAAGAAGGCTAGTGAGTTGTGATTCCTGGAAGTTGAACTCAGGATCCTGGAAGAACAGCCAAATGCTCTTAACCACTGAGCCATCCACTCATCCCTCATCATGGTTTTTCAATTGAAGATTTCATCAGTACAAAATTTCCCCAGGAATCTAAGAGCACATCTCCTTCCAAATGCTGGCCCACACACTCATGAGTTAAATAAATCTTTGACATATATTTATTTTAACAAATGAATAGTCTAACAAAAAACTGGGATTTTATTGGGTCAAACAAAAATATTTATCAGAGAAATAAGTGTCTGGGGGTGTAACTCAGTGATAGAGCACTTGCCCAGCATGCCCTGGAGCTTAGGAGCCATGCCATCACCTTCCACCAATAAAAAATAAAAATACGGGGTGATGGGAGAGCACTGGCTGAATCCTCTTCCAGAGGACCCAGGATTGATTCCCAGTGCCCACATGGCAGCTAACAGCTATCTGTACCTCCAGTTCTAAAGAATTAAATGTCTTCTGGACTATGGGATCATCTGGCATGCGTGTGGTACACAGATGTGTATATATACAAGTAAAACACCCAGACACACAAAATCAGAACAAATAAACTAATTGAAAAGATGGATACTACCAGGTAGTGATGATGCAAGCCTTTAAT